GGAAAAAAAAAAAAAAAAAACAGGATAGCCAAAACAATCCTTTACAATAAAGGAACCTCTGGAGGCATCACCATCCCTGACTTCAAGCTCTATTATAGAGCCATAGTCCTGAGAACAGCTTGGTACTGACACAAAAATAGACAGATAGACCAATGAAATTGAATTGAAAATCCTGATATTAACCCACATACCTATGAACACCTGATTTTTTACAAAGATGCTAAATCTACACAATGGAAAAAAGAAAGCATCTTCAACAAATGGTGCTGGCACAACTGGATTTGGAAATGCAGAGGATTGCAGATAGACCCATACCTGTCACCATCCACAAAACTTAAGTCCAAATGGATCAAAGATCTCAACATAAATCCAGCCACACTGAATCTTCTAGAAGAGACATTCTTACAGAAAGTCACATGTGTAAATATGTGCATCTAAGTTGAGATCATGTGCCTAAAAGCCACTGTTCTTCATCACCAGGGGTTCAGGCAAAGAACAGAAAATAATAAGCTCTAACCACTGTTTAATACCAGTTATGACCTGTATGACCAAGCTTAAGTAGAACAGAACCTAAGAGTACTGCTAATAGTTGGGGAAGGAAAGGAAAACAAAACTTTTAAATAAACTTTCAACAGCTAAATAAAATGACAAAGTATGATACACATTTAACAACAAAAAAAATTTATTGATTTACAAATTTTAAAATGGATCACTTAAAAGTGGGACTATTTTAATCTTATTATTGTTAAACTAATTCTTTCAAAATGTACTTTATTTTAAAGTGACAGAAATTACCCATGGACCAATCTTTTTTAACATGGACCTTTAAGTGTTTTCTATGTTATGTCAAGCAATCTGCAGAGTACAGCAGAGTGCAAAGATTGTGCAGTGGTCTTTACACAGACATCTGACCAGATGCAAGCACATAAGTTGTAAGCTTTGCAGCCGTGGCCTTTACTATATTTATCCGAATATCTGTATCAAGAAAGCTATGTGAAAACCACTGCTTATTACCAGCAAAACAAGTAGGACACATTTAAACAAAGGTAAAACTTAATTGTGACATATGTATTGTAAAACTACTTGCTACAGCCTACATTTCAGTGGGCTCAACATCATCATGTAAGAAAAAAAGCACAAAAGATTCAGACTAAAAGATTTTCCTTTTTCTTTTTGCAACCTTCATAAGCAAAGAGCACAGCTTAATGATTAACACAGTTCTTAGGCTTAGTCCTTAGTCAGTAGATTCCCAAGTGCAAGTCCAGTCATGCTGCCTCAAGGAACTCTACAAAGATGCTGACATTTCCTTCCTAGCATGTCTTCTTATGGGGGAAAAGTCACCAGAAGTATGCCTGTGAGTGGCTTTGTGAGAAGCCTAGAAACTTTAACAGAGTTCTGTGAAACTAAAATAGAGTGCAAAGTCAAATAAAACCAAACTGATTGCAATTAAGTCAATTCTCAAAGAAAAATCTATTAAAAACAGTAATATACATAAATGAGAAATACAAGAAATGATCACTGCTGTTAGTCACAGATGCAAATCTAGGGATCCGAGGCTTTGTGAGCACGGTAATTAAGAGCAATTCAAATACTATTTCAAATAGCATACACAATTTTGATAAGCTTGTCAAGTACTACTGGAATACATATTTTGTAACTCTGATGTTTATATTACTCCTTTTCTTCTCCATTAATATTTTAGGTACATACCGATGAGAAAAGCAATTTGTCTTTATGCATTAATGAAGAACAACAGAATTTTTGTGTGTTCCAGACTCAAAACATTAATATTTAACAAAATGTAACATAAGCTTACTTATAAAAATAAAAAAATGCGACACATTATCTAATTCTTCTATGGTCTCCTGGCTGAACTGAAACCACGGAACGCCTTTAAGAAAGATGTTAGGCGAGAAACAAAAACCAACCCATGGGATGTGTACTGTTTACAAATATCATTTGCAGGGAAATAAGTTGCCTGGCCTAATTTTAAAGCTAATTATAAAATCCCATTTTTCTTAATGGTCCAGATACCTTGCCGATTCTTCCAACTCAACAGAACTGCAAAAACAAAAGAAATAGATTTTAAAAATACAAGTAGTGAGTATATATCTCAGCTTTATGTACTGTGTGAAAGGAGTACCTTTGAAAAAGACTTTCTATACCCAGTAGTTCCTTATTTTAATTCCACCATAAAATTACAAGGACTATGTAACTAAAGAACAAATGCAACATTTTGAGCATTTTTAAAGTACTTCTCTTAGTGTTTCTAGGTTAAATAACACTTCTTATCAGCTTTCTGCATTAAATTGAACTGTCTTAATTTCATTAGGTATCATATGGCACAACCTGTTTGGTGAACTGCTTGTAGTAAAATAAACAACTATATCTGCTCATTGCAGTGATACAACTATCCAGCATGTATAACAGACCTAAGAGAGCTATCTAGAAAAGTCAAGTTTGTTCAACAGGACTGAAAAAGGAAGGGATGACAGAGGGGGAGCTCAGGTATTATTCATGCCTACTACATGAGGAAACAATAGACCAGTGAGGGTAAGATGCAAGGGATTTCCAATCATTGTGTGACTCCAAAGAGTTAACCCTACCATGAACATCTATCTCCCAATCCCACACTACTAATAGCTTCCTCATTATTAATAATAAAAGTGACCTTGGGACTTTTACTAATAATGTGCAATCCTAATTTTATATTTTGTTTTTTGGAGCTCAAAAAAAAAATCATTCAAAAATTAGCTTTCCACTGGCCTGTACAGAAATGGGACTGGCATCAGAAGTTACTCATGAGTCAGGAGGGTTTCATTGCTCCACTCGTTGCTTAACTGTTGGAAGGTTGTTGAGGAGGACCAATGCAAACACCAATGGACAGTTCACAGCCCTTAGTCACACAGACTGCTCTGGTTAAACTCATTGCATTACAAAACACAACAGGAATGTGAGAAAGGGACTTGTAGAGAAGGGTGATTGCCAGGTGTGGGGAGAGATACATGTGAATCAGCAAAGAAAGCATACAATAAACATCATAATAAAAAAAAAAAAAAAACACTTAAAAACAGGTAACTTGGGGCTGGAGAGATGGCTCAGAGGTTAAGAGCACCAACTGCTCTTCCAGAGGTCCTGAGTTCAATTCCCAGCAACCACATGGTGGCTCACAACCATCCGTTATGAGATCTGGTGCCCTCTTCTGATGTGCAGATATATATGGAAGCAGAATGTTGTATACAAAATAAATAAATAAAATCTTAAAAAAAAAAAAAGCAAAAAAAAAGAAACAGGTAACTTAAAAAAAAAAAAAAACAAACTTGTAACCGGCGTTGGTGGCACATGCCTTTAATCCCAGCACTCAGGAGGTAGAGGCAGGGGGATCTCTGTGAGTTTGATACCAGCCTGGTCTACAAGAGGTAGTTCCAGGACAGCCTCCAAAATCACAGAGAAACCCTGTCTCGAAAAACCAAAAAAAAAAAAAAAATTAAAAATAAGTAATAAACATACACAACTTTTCTGGAAGAACAAAATTGGAAATAATTTAATTACTATACATATATGTGTAAAGGTAATTTAATATTGTTTCTTGCCATTCCTGCATTAAAACACATGTGTTGTTAAGATCAAGCTTAGGAGGGTACATGTTACTATCGTAGAAGGCTATGAAGAGACAGTAAATTATGGTACACAACCAAGGGGGTGCCATACCTTCCATCGATTTCCACATTCATTACATACAACAAACGTTGTCATTGGTTCATCAGCACTACGAGTCTGCACCTGTAGCAAAATTAATTGAAAAAAATACTACTACTTACTACTTTCCCACTAAAAATAAGCCAACTTATGTAAGACATACTACATAAAGATATACAGTAACTCCAGTGACATCATCCTAAGATGTATAAGAGCATTATACAAGTTCAAATATACTACTGGCAAAGGAGCATATATTTTCAAATGTCATTTTTCTAAATCCTTCTGTTTTATCTTTCATGTGTAATTTTATCCAATTAAGTGAAAAATCTTCTAAAAGTCACCCATTACATTAATGATTAATAAATACCATTAATTAACATTTTAATGACCTAAAGATGTTAATAAAATCTAAACCATTTCTTTATGACACATAATTGACACAACCACTGTAAAAGCAGGTTAAATACCCATATCTCTGCCATAGGAACGTGGCATTCTCATCTACTCTGATATGTAATTAGAAATACAAAGATCTCAGCCAGGCAATGGTGGTGCAGGCCTTTAATCCCAGCACTCAGGAGGCAGAGGTAGGTGGATCTTTGAGATCCAGGCCAGCCTGGTCTACAGAGCTAGTTCCAGGACAGCCAAGACTACACAGAGAAACCCTTTCTCACAAAGCCAAGAGGTGGGGGGACGGGAAGAAATACAAAGATCTCTGCATACGGATATTGAAGAATTTCATTTAAAAACAGCATTTATATTGGAAGCAACACAGAAGAGTAAACACATCTGATTGAAAACTGTGCACTGACTAAGATGTTTAAGAAAAAGCTGGGCATGGTACAAAAATGCCAAAGAAATGAAGCCACCATCTCAAAGACTTACTGTTCACTCAAGTATCATTCAAAATGGTCAATGGCTACCCAGTTTAATGGGAATGGAGTTTCACTTTTGCAAGCAGAAAAGTAAAACCAGAAAACATTGAGACCATGTCTTAAATGCCCCTCTCCCTGCCCCCAAATAGAACACTTAGGAAGAACGGGGCTGAGGATGTAGCTTAGCTGTGAAAGTGCTTGCCTCACATGGACAAAGCCCCAGTCTATACCAGGTATGTTGGTACTTGCCTGGAATCCCAGCGTCTGGCAGGTAGAGGCAGGAGGACCATAAATTCAAGGTCATCTGTAGTTACTTAAGAGGCAGACATTGTGGGAAATGTAATCCTGTAATCCTAATACATGGGAAATGGAGGCAGGAGGATGACATTTCAAAGCCAGCATCTATTTCACCGTAGGCCCTGTTTCAATGCTGCACCTCAGCTATTCTTAAGTTTATTAAGTTACAGCATGAACAGGGATACCAACAATATTGCATTGTGAACAAGATATATTTAAATTTAGCAATGATGAAATGCTAATTTAGCATCACTTCAAAACCAGAAATTTCTGATAAATCATTAACATGATTTTAGTTCAAAGCCCACGAAATAAAAAACATTCTAAGGGCTGAAGAGATGACTTGACTCAGCAGTTAAGAGCACTGTTCTTGCAGAGGACTAGGGTTCTATTCCCAACACCTACATGCTACTTCACATCCTTCTATAAATTCAATTCCAGGAGATCTGACACCCTCTCCACATCTTTTCTTGAACAGTATCAGGTTCTGTAATTATCTTTACTCTGAAACAGGAGTGAAACCTTAATGTACACACGAGACCACAGTCAATCACAAACCTGTGTATAAGTGCAGTTCTTCTTTTTACATTTGCCACACGTGAACAAGTCAGTCTGGGTCCCACCTGTCTTGGCCATCTGATGCTCTCTGATGGCTTCTTTGGTCAGGTTTTTCCTCATTTCTTTGAGCTCATCACTAGCCATTTCCTATGACAGAAATAGCAATATCAATGAGTTACAGATACTTTTGGCAGCTGCTCTATATACTGACTGCTTTCATGTTCACAGAGTTTAACAAGAGTCAATAATAAAAGTAAAACCAGCTTATAAAATTTCAAGTTTGAAACTAATATTTTTCCCTCGGGAGATTAATGTTTCCTTTCAAAATCTCTTTAAAGACTCATAATTTTTTATGTGAAAATTAGGTGTTCATACTGTTTATAAACTAACAATGAAAACCTAGAGCAATCAGCACCTCTGGTATCCACAAGGGGATCTAAATATTACCACCACCATCCTCAAAGAAGCCAGGGGCCTTTGGACGAACATTTGGATTTGTTTAGTGAAGGCAGGGTTTAAATGAGTTCACCAGACCCAAGATAAATGATAATTAGGTGTTTATCAGGGAAGGACTTACACCGATAAGAGTAAATTTACTGCAGCATTCTTCCTGCTCTACAAGATGCAGTCTCTCCCGATGCTCTCCACAACCCAAGAGAGCTCCAGCCAGCCCCTCCTCTACCTTATAATGGGTCAAGTCTGTACCAGATAAACCATGCCCAAAAGGTGTGGCCACCACTACAAGTTCACTGGCAAGGCAAGATGCCACTACAGTTTAGAGCCAAGTACACAGAATATGCCAGGGTTATTTTTGACACCAGAAAGCACAAAGACTCTCATGTATGGTCAAATGGGCAGAAGACTAGCACCAAGCAGAGGATGGTGGTCCAAAATAAGACAGCTTCTTCAGTCACTGAAATAATTACTGCAAGGAAAAACCCTACAAGGGAGATAAACAGCCAAATCCCTGATAGTACTTAGTAGAGGGAATGTACAAATGAAAGCAAACAGCAGCTAACATTCTGATAATGGTTTAACTAACACAAAGAATTTTAAGTTTATCCTTTCTTATTAAACCAACCGGGTAACTACAGTTAAAAGAATCCTAGCTATAATGATATTTTAGAAATTGCTCTCTTACAGTGATTATTCTACTCATGTAACACATGATCATCTCACTGATGAACTCACTGATGGAGTACTTTACAATGGAAAAACTAATTGACATTACCCAAAGCCACTAACAAACCTCAGCATGCTACGAGGAAAGCAACAAGACACTATGTGCCTTCTCACAGAATGTACCTGAAGCAAAACCCATCACTTAAGTAAAAGGAAGCTTGAGTATAATCAAATTATACAGGAAATCAGGGGAGAGGAAATTTAAGGAATACGACCTAATGCAGTATTCACAGACATTTATAATGGGGGGTGGGGGGTGCTGCTGGTCCTTCAACACAGCAGCACCAAAGAGGAAAAAGGTAGAGGAGAGGAGAGATGTGAGAGGCAAAAGAGAATGCCTTAAGCCAGGTGTGGTCTTTAATCTCAGCACCCGGGAGGCAGAGGCTGGCAGATCTCTGTGAGTTTTGAGGCCAACCTGGTCCACAGAGTAAGTTCCAGGACAGGCAAGGCCACACAAAACCCCCACACACCCAAAAGAAACTGCTTTAGCTTAAAAATCAAAGGTATGTGCTGACTTCAGCTCCTGGTACACCTAATGCATAATCAGGAAAAGGTGAATATGAGTTTCATAGCATGGCAAGGGCTTATTGTTAGCATTGTTGGCCATGGTGATAACAATTTAGTTATATAAGGAAAATTATTTTAAATATATTTAAAAATATGCATACACATTCATGCATATAGAGTTGAAAGGATAAATGCCTGGGATTTGCTTGACATAAATTCAATAGAAAAGAAGAAAATAGAAGTATAATTTAAAAAAGGATGACAAGTCAGGCAGTGGTGGTGCACACCTTTAATCCTAGCACTCAAGAAGGCAGAAGCAGGCAGATCTGTGCTTGAGGTTAGCATGGTCTACAAAGGGAGTTCCAGGACAGCCAGGGCTACACAAAGCAACTCTGTGTTAAAACCCACCCTTCTAAAAAAATGATGACAAATTCCCAAAAGTAGGTGAAAATGAAACTCATGACAGACATATGGATCTGATTACACTGTGTTCTCTGCTTGCTCTGTGGAAGTTTTAGATTTTTTGTTTCTTTTATTTTTGAGTCAAAGTTTCTCTGTGTAGTCCTGGCTGTCCTCAAACTTAGAAATCCACCTGCCAATGACTCCCAAAGGCTGGGATTAAAGGTGTGCCACCCCTGCCTGGTAGTTATGGATATTTTAGTATGATTTTAAAACAAAATTTCTTAAACACAGCACATTTTATTAGCAATGAAAAAGTTATTATTACACTGTTGGATGATTAATAAAATAAACAGATTGTAGGTATAATATAGCTATTGTTAACCCCCCACCCTCCAGACAGGGTTTCTCTGTGTAGCTTTGGAGCCTGTCCTAGAACTCGCTCTATAGACCAGTCTAACCTCAAACTCACAGAGATCTGCCTGCCTCTGCCTCCCAAGTGCTGGGATTAAAGGTGTATACCATCACCACCCAGCATCTTGAGTGTTTTCTAGTATACACAATATATCATAGTTATGTTTGTAGACATTTTCCACACATGAGATATTTATACAGCACTTATATACAGACTTGCTCACCTCTGCTGTCATTCTAGCAAATAGGTCAGGAGGAATATTCCCACACAGCACATTTTTCCTTAAATTTGGATTCTTTGCATCTTTAGGAACTGAAATCCTACTCCGTACTCTGTTTTTGTATTTCATGTCTGTATTCCGTATTTCTTGATATATAGGTACTTGGCCATTAAGGAAAAAAGATTGTTATAAAGATAACTTTTTTTTCTGCCAAATTCATAATTCATTCTTAAATTTTTTGAACCAATTCATGAAAATGGTTTCCAAACTAGATAAATAAGAAAAAAAAAAAGTATTTCTTTCAGATTCCTTCATCTATAACTGGTCAATAGTGCTAATCTTTACAACCATGACTAAGTGATGCTTTTTTTAAATGCTTAATGTCAGAAGCATGCATCAACATGATTTCAAAGAATAACTCTGGCACAACCCAAGTAGCAGATGTTTGAAAAGGCGTTCTAAAATCAAACAAGCTTTAACTCGCCCAAGTCTGAATCCCACTAAGGACCTCAAAATCTATGGCATAGATAGATTTGGCCATAGCTCCCTCAGAGGTCTTATGAGAAGAGAGCATTTGAGGCAGCACTGGAGGCTCATCTCATCTACCAGCTCAGCGAGAAGACCACAGAAGGCCTGGTCAAAGCAGAGAGCAAGGCCCAGAGGGCTCACTTTTTACAAAGGCCGGTTCTTCAAAAAAGACAGTCCCACTTTATACTGCCATGTAGGTACATTCCATGCAAGACCTCTCCTGAAGAGTCTTTTCTATGGTGCCAGGCACGAACACATGTCCTGGCAGAAGGACCAGGGACTGAGTACCCTGATGAGGCCCTCCTCCTGTGTGAGCTTCACATCTTCCCTGCCATTTTACGTAACTTAAATTCAGATTCTACACTCCCAATATGCAAAGGCAGAAAGACAAAGCTACCATTAACCATAGGCGATTTAGTATTGAATGAAATGAAAACTAAACATGAATGCCCTTCTCCTTCCTAAGAAAGTACAGATAAACCTCCGACTTATGTAGCAGAAGGAAAAGGACAATTAGCCTCACAGATTACTACACACAGTTTTGGATGTGAACACAAAGGATATCTTCCTCAATCTGTGATCCCAGTTCTTCCTCATCGGCTCCAATAGCAACGTAGTCATCTACAAACAGGAATGAAAAACTCATTATTGTAAAGTGTAAGTAAACCACTCCTATTTCTTCAACCCCATTTGCCTCTTCTACAAAATCTTTGAGTTTGTTAGGACCTCTTATCTTACTGCCTACTATTCCTTTGCTCTGGGATTGGTCTAAGATCTGTGCCACAGTATACTCTTGTCTGATAACTCCTTTTCCTGAGGAAGTAATTCATATACTAGGCAATTCCTCACTTCACAACACTATCAATTCTGGGTTCTTCATCTGAGAAGAGTAAGAACAGACATTAGGAAGAAATGCCTTCCCTCCTGTGACACAGGCTTCAACACAGAGAATGTACTCATTTTATCTGCCAATCACATACACAGATGCACTCGGAAAACTATCACAGATGCTCAAAAGGACAGGAGAAATAAATAGAACTGCCAGATAGAAAAAAGAAAAAATGCAGACAGAGGCAGTAAGAAAATTCAAGTAGAAAGGGCCAAGTAAGTAGCAAAACTGGTCACCCTAGCTATGCATAGTTCAGCATAACTGAAAAGAAAAAGGGTTAGTTTGTGTCAACCATTCTGCCTTTCAAACTTACATTTTACACATTTTAGGGATACTATGTGGTGTTTCACTATATATGAAATCTTAAAGTCAAACATTTGCATGTTAACTCTAAGGGTGGTGTTTCACTATATATGAAATCTTAAAGTCAAACATTTGCATGTTAAGTAAAAAAATTAGTATTTCTTAGATTTTCCCATGGAAGTGTAAACTGTAAATTGTATATTGCTTTTAATTATTAATATAAAACTTAAATACTGTATATCACACTAACATTTAACACCTCATGTTGTTACGGCTCAACCTAAGTTCAAAGTAATGAGTTTACAGATCAAAGATTTATGTGGGAAAAGCTTAAATTAGCATGAATCAGGAGAAATATGAACCT